GGCGCGGTTATAGCTAATCTGGACGTCCATCACGCTGAGGATTTGCCCTCGGCCTATGCTGCCCTTTGTCATGGGGTCGGCCCGCATGTTCCGAGTGCCGTGCTGCACTGGAGCAAGTCGTAGGTCTGCACGGTGCGCAGCTGGTCGGCTAATTACCGCAGGTGGCCAGCATAAGCTGGTCGCGGACGGCGACCGGACTGGGTCCATGAGCAGGGCGCTGAAGACGGACATACCGTCAGTGACGAGGTCTGCGGGGATCGCGCAACCTCCTTCCCCTCACGGTCTCCTGATCTCCTCGGCAGAGGCGGGGCCGCGCACCATCTCGCGCAACGCGCGGAGGCGCCCCTGCAGGCCGTCTGCCGCGCCGATTGCCGCGAGCAGCCCAGGGCCGAATGAGGATCTGCACGCGAGCTTGCGCGATCGGCTCACAGCGCCCAGCAGGTGGCACGCATGTTTGCCCGTGCGGCGGCTCTTGCCTAGACGCATGTCTAGGGTCCCTTTCATGCCGTATCCTGACTCATCCTCCCCATGAAAGATTTGTCGCTATGCGCGCGGAGTCGCCCAGCACACTCCATTGATGGAATTGAAATGCGCGCCTTGAACATTCTGCATGGCCAGAACAAGGAGTTGGTCTGCATCACGCGTCCGCCGAGCAGCTTGTTCTTGGCTCTCTGCAGGGCGACGATGTACACTGCGACGCGGTGCCGGGTAAGCAGGGCGTAGGTCGCTGCTCCCAGGAGGGAGACAAACGTCAGGAAGCTGACCTCGGGCCAGCTTGCCAGCCTTGGCCTTGGCCAGATCAACGTGTCCGATCGGTACCAGAGCGCCGATGTAGTCGTCCTGGTCGATCTCCTGGTCGAGCGTCACGGTGCCATCGGCACTGCGGCGCTGGCGCACTCCGCACTTGAAGTCGTCGTAGTCGCCCTCCATCTTCGCGAGAGGCTGGCGGCACCGCTGCCAGACGTCACGCGCTCGACCTCAAGCTCCAGGCCCCACCTGGCAGGTTTGGCGCCGCATTCGGTTGAGCGAGTGACACGGGCGAGCTCCACGGAGAAGACCCCTGGCGCATCTTTGCAGCCCCTGCCCGGCTTGTTGCAGCGCAGGCACTCGGCCCGTTCGTCGATTTTCTCGCAGCCGGGCACCTGCTTGAGGCTGGCTGCACTGCTAGGTGGCAGGGTGAAGTTCACCTCTCGAGGTGCTTCCCCTTGCTCCTGCATCTCTGCCTAGGTCACGCCTTGCAGGAATCGCTCTCGACGTCAACGGCGACGCGCACTCAGTCGGGGCGACGCGCCCTCTCTGAGGATAGCAGGCACTGAGACGCCCGTTTCGCTGTCCCTGCGATCCAAGGCTCTGGCAACCATATCGTGGAAGCCCCGCAGCGCCATGCGGCACCGGATGATCCAGGCAGTTTGCCGTCTAATCCCTTCCGATGCCTCCACTTGAAAACATGTCTGGAGTCCATCACGTTTCGGTCGGCTTTGCGCGGCCGCCTCTCGAGACATGTGTACTTGACCCAGATGGTGAGCTCCTCGAGAATGGCTGCTGCGACCTCCTTCGACAGCCTCGACACTTGCACATTGGACAGAAGGTCGGCGCCGCGCTTGATAACCGCGGAGTGGCAGAAATGTGAATCGCAGCTGTTCGAAGAGCAGTCGCCGGACGCAGCCGTCTGAGGAGCGCCGGCGACACCGTCGCTGGACGCGGCCTCGATGAAGCTCGGGAATGCTTCGCGCACCCCATGGATCCAGGTACACCTCCACGCGTCCACCTACATCGCCCTCCTCCCCTAGCGTGGCGCGGTCGCACAAGGAGGCCCTGCAAAAGTAGCAGTGGCGCTGCGCGTGGATGCCCTGACGCTGGCGCTGCGTCTCGAGGTGCCGGGGCCACTCGCGCGGCCCGCGGCCCAGGTCGGCCGCTGCGTGCTCGACGGCAGCGGAGATCTCACGCTGGCTGTCGGCGCTCTCCAGCTCCTCCAGCTCCTGGGTCAGATCTTCTGCCCCCTCGACTTCGCGCCAACCTGCCAACGTCACCTGTTGGATGTCGCTACCAGTCTCCTCGGTAAGAGCCGAAATAGCTGATGGTGCTCCACCTTCTGTGGTGTTGGCGGTGTCCTCGGGAGAACGTCGATGACGCAATCATCGAGCGTTCCGTCCAGGCCCTGTCCGGCGTCTGTCGCCATTGACGGCTGGTCACCCAAGATATACTGGATGATGCGAGCTTCCTTCCAATGCTTGCCGATGAGCTGACGGGCGTCGAACACGACACCGTTGAGGTGGATCTTCCGAACGTCAGAAGGGTTCCGAAGGAGCCGCCAGATTGCCAGGCCGCGGGCGCAGCCCGGTCTGTTGCCCACAGATTCCTTTCCACGCATGAGCCGCACGGAGCGAAAGTCAGGTGGTTGAAAGCATCTACGGGAAGGATGGCGCAGGGCTTCGAGGACGCGCGGGCGTTGACGTGCCAGCTCGGTGAGCTGCACGCCCTTGGTGTCCTCCCAGTGGCCGAAGGTCTTGGCCCCAGAGACCGATGTCACGTGCCCCAGGTCGTCCTCTACTCGGTCCCTGGCCAAGCCTGCTCGCACCATGCCGGTGCCCATCTCGTCGAAGGCGGCACCGGTGAAGGCCCGGACGTCTTGCAATCTGCAGACCATATCGGCCCAGGTGCTTGACCGCCACTTTGCCTCGCGCCGGTTCTGCGTGCATGACTGTCCCAGGGCCCTCCCAGCCTGATACATCGTCGGTGCTTGGCGGCCTGTGGATCTCCACCTGGTCGCCAACGTTGAAGCAATCCTGCCCAGACTCGGCGGCGCGGGCCCTGAGGGCTCGGTTGACGCGTGCGATCGATATGGCTTCGATGGGCTATCTTCCGGATGCGCATTTGCAAGCAGCTGGGCTGCACTTCCCCACCAGCAGGAGGCTCAGCACCAGCGACGCAGTCGCCGGGTGCCTCACCCTGTTCGCCTGCTTCGAGTGGCGTCAGCACGGGCGGCTGCCGCCCAAAGGCGACGTTGCATGGCGTTACGCAGCCCGCGCGGGCGAGGCGGTTGCCAGCGAAGATGGCACGTGCCAGCATGCAGTCGCAGTCTGTCGCAATGCCTTCGCGCTCCAGCGGCTCCTCGGCGGCCCGAAGTGTTCGTCGCAGCAAGGCCCCGCGCCTCTCGACGAAACGAGCGGGCTGGCGCCGAGCCCGTACGTCAACCTGTACTCCTCTCCTCTTCAGCTCCTCCACGAAGTGCGTTGGGGTCACGCCGCCTTCGGCGTCCACGATCAAAATGTCCATCGAGCCGAACAGCTGGATCAATGAGCGGTCGCTGGCGGCAAGCAGCGTCGAGTCGTGCTTGGACGTGACTTCCTGACTACTATGACACCGCGAGGCCCAACCGATCAGGCGGATAATCATGCGACCCTTGGAAAACAGGATGTCGCACTCGACGCGCTGGTTGAACCGCGTCGACAGGCGGAGTGTCAAAATGGTCCGGCGCGCTGGCGGTAGCCACTTGCGACGATCTCTGCAGCTGTTGAGCAGCATGGGGAAGAGATTGAGGATGTTTTGTGGTATGCTGGCTGCCCGTGGTGCTCGGGAGCGTAGTTTGCGCAGCTCCCGCGCGCGTGATTCACGCGAGTCGCTGCGAAGTGCTCGTAAGGAGGTAGCGACTCCAGTCTGAGGGCGTTGGGTCGCCGGCAGCTGCGTCGGCAACTCGCGGCGCTGCTCGGCGAGGCCCCGCGCCTGATGCTGGACTGGCTCGGATCCATGGTCGAGCGACAGTTTCGCCAGAACCAGCACCCTGAGCACGGAACCCCGGTCGATCGACACAGTCGCCCGAGTCGGCACCCTAAGCTCCAGCGCTGGATAACGAGCTGGCTTCTGACCCTCCTGCGGCCGCGGGTGGTAGAACAGCCTCGTCTGCTGCTCCAACGTCTGCGCCGCTGGGTAGCTGGGCCTGCTGATCACTTGAGCACCGCGGTCCTCAATGTCGCGCCGGCGCACGGGGGCGCTGGCAGGCGCGCGGGCGCGGCCGGGCGTGGGGATCCGCAAACCTGCGCGCGTCAATCTCGTGAATGTTTGCAGGGTGATCGCGTTCCTTTTCATCTTGGCAGCTGGGGCACCCCCGATGGAT